ATACATTAAGCAGTCGTTGTTGATTTTGAAACAAAGAGAAACTTCCTCAAATTCAGTCACAATTACTTAATCTTTTCTTGAAGTAGTTGTGTCATACACGGACTCTCAGTATGTTTGAGGACGTACACTAACGGTTTCATTAGCTGAGGTTACAAATATTCATTGATAAATGGAATGCTACCGAATTGCCTCGATCAACTCTAGGAGCCATTGCAAGAATAATAAAATCTTGGGAATTTTGGGCAAAAATTATGTTTTAATCCAGTTTCGTCCCAGTACTTAATCGAGACTGTAGGCGTTCAATGGCAAAGATAATATTGTTGGAACTCCGTGCAGAAACATTACCGTTGCGTTTAATCTGGATCCCAAAGTTTGGTTGAGGAAATACGGTAAAGGTAATCTCACGTTGTGCATACCCAAATCAAACTAGAACACCAGTCGTTATAGCTCTTAATGACATGAAAGGACAATAAAATTATTCTGTAAGAACGGAAAGTATTACATATTTAATGGCAAATGGGAAGATAATGAACATGCGTCAATATGCAATGTAACGCAAATCCACATAATTAACTCTATACCGCTCAAAACAGGTTTCCAATCCGGTTCCATCATATCACTGAAGTCAGTGACGTACCAGATCAACTATTGAACAGGAGAGGTTCTGGTTGATCCTTAACTTATTTTAAGTAGAATACGATTTGTTATGTGGGTTGTTCGTTCAACTGAGGAGAAATAATACCCATGATGCAACCCTCGCCATGTAGTGAGATGTATCATGTAGTCATGGTAACGCAGGCCGCGTAGAGGAACAAGAGTTAGAAGTTCTGTCACGCATCACACTGAGACAGTCGAAGGAAAGTGGCTCGGACTGAAAGACTTCTATAAGTATCTCACGAAAGAAATTATGAAATCGTATCACCTTTTACTTACTGGTTTTGCAGGATTGACTGCAATCCTTTGTGCACAATGTACCGTTTCGAGTTTTTACCAGGAGGTACAGACAGGTGTTGACGCAGCAATGGTTTTCGACTACGTAGAGACGGCGACGGTTCTTCAATGTGCCATTACTTGCAGCAGCTTCCCCAACTGCAACGTTTTCATTTACTGCAACATCGACAACAGATGCTCCATGTTGACATCGGATCAGCCTTCCGTTCCTGTCGGCGTCCCCTACCCGACCTGCAAGGCATTCTTAGAGCTCACGACCTCAAGTCAGGTGAGTTCAAATTTGAATATATTCAGAGATAATTGTAAATCAATTAAAGATATTAAAGAATTAAATATGAAAGATACAATGACTGGTTTCAGCCATATCGTGACTGGACGATATTGAACAATTAGAACAGTCGAAAATCGTGTCCTACTTGAATGTGCCGAAATCACCATCAATAACTCATCATGATTTCTACTCTGTCAAACTGAGCGTGTGGAATGTGCTTCTTCCCACAAGTTGGACACAACAACTGTATATAAAACCTGTAAATCCTGAAATGTGTAGTATTCTTCGTCGTTGCATTTTGGATAATGTTAAAATGGGCAAGTGAGTATGGTTTTACACCACCTTTAGCAATAAAGGAATGTGACTTTGGGGAATACTAGAAATGGCCTTCAGACATCATATACATAAGGGGAGTCGATTCCGTATCTTTTGGCATACCAAGTGAGCACTGTTACCACAAGGCTACCCCAACACTTCTTAGGTTGAAAATCCATTTTTGCCTTGATTGAATTCTTTTTGCGTAAATGCTCAGGCCTTGTGACACTTTTCTTAAACAGGACACAACGAGTACTTTGAGGATAGGTTGCACGTACCATTATAGGTACAAGAACAATTTCTTCTTTGAGATAAGAAAGAAGTATTTTTGAAATCGCATTTTGAAGATACTGGCCAGTTGTGATGTTTCTTACCTTGGTCTTTCACCGTGCAAACATCTGGTGTGGCCCTCCTTTGTATAAATGTGAGAAAAGCAACCTCTGTTTTGTTTTAGACCTCGTCATCCTGCCAGAATGGTGGAAGCTTTCTTGGTGCTGCCTGTCAGTGTCCATCTGCCTTCACAGGAGGGAACTGTGAGACAAGGATAAAAGGTAAACCTTCAGTGACAGATATGGACTATTTTGGCATCATGACCTATTTATGTGATCCTGTTTTGTAAGGGTCATTTCCCAGAAGTTTCATTTGTATATGTAACCGGACTCACCAATCGTGAAGATCTCTGAAAGGAAGCAAAAGACGAATTCCTAAAGAATTCCTGTTAAAGGTCACATGCAACGCAAAACACAACTTTGCAGATTCTGATACCTTTCGGTATGGACTTACAGTAACAAATTATCAAAAATGCAAATTCAACTTATAAAGTTGAAAAATAACGCGATGAAAAAAACCCCGCGAAATCGTAGTTCAAACGATTCACTAATTTCACCCCAGCGCTGGGGTGAAAAGTGGTTTCAACAGCTGTTCTGCGCCCATAGCGCATGCGTAGTGATTAGGTTCGCGCGGCTTGAACCGGGAAGGCGACTCGTAAAAACACAGCAAGTGACGCGTGCAAGGATTATCGCTGTGGTCGAAATTGGAGAACAATAGATGTTTCTTGTGATTACAAGCATCTTGGGTCTGCAGTAATAAAAATACACTGGTCCCATAAGTTCTCAAGAAAGTGTAGAATTAGAAATACTAATTTCATTGTTAAAAATTGCTCAGCTTGAAACTGGAATGTTTTAATACATGTCTATGGAAACATAGAAAAATATGTTGATTGTGATAAGCAGTCTCTTTCACAGAAAAAACTCAATGTCTGTTTTATTGACACCTATGTGTCTGCCTGTCTGTCTGCTAATGACAATATGCAATACGCAACTTCAATCATTGACCACATGCAATTTGAACGTAACACCTATCAGACTATACACCATAAACAAAATACATTGATTGATGGCTCTTGCACCTGAGTTCTGTCTCTGTCACATTATGTAATTACACAGACAGGCAGGTGTGATACTTGTACACATGACATGTTATTATGTCTGTGGGTTGCAAACAAACTGCATCCATTGTCAGTTTCAAGTCCTGCTTTGTACTTTGACCAGGAAGACTATATGTTGTAGATTATCCCTGCTTAGACGAACTACAGTTTCCAGCCACGCAGTTGTTCACCATCTCAGTATTTGTTGATTGGATCGAACGCCAATGCAGAGAGCATATATTTACAAAACCCAACATCTCTATACACATTCCATATGGATAACAACTTCTTTTATTGTATATGATGCGACGTTTCGGTATGGATTCTTATACCGTTGTCACTCTTACTTTCTTATTACTCACCATACTTCTAAAATGCCAATCAAACAGATCATCTCTATATACACACACACAATGAGCCCTCAGGGTATTGACAAATGAACCAGCCAATGAGAGACTTCGTTTAACTTGAGTGCACGCCCACTCGCTCTGACTGGGTTCGGTCTCCCGGGTGCTTCGTTTCGAGGGAAGTAAACCCGAGTACAAAATATTACTCTTTTGATTTGCGATTGTACGCTTATAATTTTGTTTATTTGGGTTTTTTTCACAATCAGCAATGTATATTATATGTCATGAATAAGTGATAATTGTGTTTTCATTATGTTTTCCGGTTGCATGTGACCTTTAAGAATATCTCCTTCCATCAGTACTGCCATATAGAAGAGGGACACCAGTGATGGTGGGTTCGAACCTCAGGTTGTCACTGTACATGCTTCCAGGTCAGTCGGCACCAACCGAACTCATGGGTTTCACCAACGTGTCACGTGGTCAAGCTGACAGACAGTGCTGTAATTGAAATGTTGTTTAAAACGAGTTGACTCTCTTATTTCGTATTGAGAATCACAGTTGAGTTATAACAGAGTCTCTATTTCTAACCAATTCGAATACTGTTCAAAGATGGTTTGTCCAACTCATTGGCGTTCTTGGTTGATTCCTTCATTGCTCTTGTCCATCATTGTCCATCAGTGACCTGTGTTTGACAGTCATCATGTCACTGTTTCAGACTGTAAAGACGTGTCCCTGTACGTTGGGAACTCTCCTGGCACCTACACTGTCTGGCCGACCAAAGCCGCACAACCGTTTGACTTGGAATGTGAAGGAGTCACCGCCATGATCATGTTCAGGGACAAAACCATCAGTGGCTGCGAGTCGGTGCCCGTGACGTACCTCGACGTTCCCTGGGCCGACTACAAGTTTGGTTTCACCCACTCCAACTGTTACATGTGGCTGGGTCTGGAGAAGATGTATGCTCTGACCAGTGTCCGACCTTACACGCTGTACATGTCCTTGAAGAAGTTTGATAGCACTCCCGGACAAGTATCTTACAACGCCTTCTCCGTGGGTGACGAGGCCTCGGAGTACCGACTGTCGGTGTCCGGGTTCACCGGGGATGGCGTTTTCGGAGACCGCTTCAACCTCGGGGACCCAGCTACAACCCTGAATGGGAGTCATTTCTGTGCCAAGGATCACTGCAACAACTCAGTCAACCCTTGTGCCGAGTGGCATCGTGGAGCCTGGTGGAACAGGCTAGATGTCTGCCAGACGAATCCTCACCAACAACGTGACATTTACTGGGTTCTTGACGATGGTACCGTTCACGAATGTAAAAGCATCTATATGTTCATAAATCCTGCCTAATACTCAAACTCCCTAAAAATGTCAGTAGGCATAAACAATATGCACGGTACTTGCACATAACCTTCTCGACACATGCGCTATACATGCAGGGTACTTGCACATAACCTGGACCACACATGCGCTATACATGCACGGTACTTGCACATAACCTGCACGACACATCGACAATACGTACACGGTACTTGCACATAACCTTCACGACACATTCACTATACCTGCACGGTACTTACACATAACCTGCACTACACATCCACTATACAGGCACGGTACTTGCACATAACCTGGACCACACATGCGCTATACATGCACGGTACTTGCACATAACCTGCACGACACATCGACAATACGTACACGGTACTTGCACATAACCTTCACGACACATTCACTATACCTGCACGGTACTTACACATAACCTGCACTACACATCCACTATACAGGCACGGTACTTGCACATAACCTTCACTATACCTGGACGGTACTTGCACATAACCTTCACGACACATTCACTATACAGGCACGGTACTTACACATAACCTGCTCGACACATCCACTATACCTGCACGGTACTTGCACATAACCTTCACTATACAGGCACGGTACTTGCACATAACCTTCACTATACCTGCACGGTACTTGCACATAACCTTCACGACACATCCACTATACAGGCACGGTACTTACACATAACCTTCACTATACCTGCACGGTACTTGCACATAACCTTCACGACACATTCACTATACAGGTACGGTACTGGCACATAACCTTCACGACACATCCACTATACACGCACGGTACTTGCGCATAACCTTCACTATATCTGCACGGTACTTGCACATAACCTTCACGACACATCCACTATACATGCACGGTACTTGCACATAAACTTCACCACACATTCGCTATACTTGCACGGTACTTGCACATAATCTTCACGACCTATGCACGGTACTTGCACATAATCTTCACGACCTATGCACGGTACTTGCATATTACTTTTACGACACATTCGGTGTTCATGTACCGTACTGGCACATAACCTTCCGACACATCCGCTATACAGGCACGATACTTGCACATAACCTTCACGACACATCCGCTATACATGCACGGTACTGGCACATAACCTTCAAGACCTGCACGGTACTTGCACATTACCTTTACGACACATTCACTATACATGCATGGTACTGGCACATAACCTTCACGACCTCTGCACGATACTTGCACATAACCTTTACGACACATTCACTATACATGCACGGTACATGCACATAACCTTGACGACACTGTCACTAAACATGCACGGTACTTGGTTATAACCTTCACGACCTATGCACGGTACATGCACATAACCTTCACCACGCATTCGCTATACTTGCAAGGTACTTGTACATAACCTTCACGACATATCCGCTACACATGCGCGGTACATAATTACATAAATTTCTCGAGATATATGCTATAAATGCATGGAACATCTACATAAACTTCACAGTTCATAAACTGTGCCAGAAAAGAAAATTCACAAGAAGGACATTCAGACCAAGATGTGTTCTGAAAGGGGAATTTACAGCAAAGAAGTAAATTAAAACTTAAATCCCATAATAAGACAATGTCTGCAATATCGTCTTTAGCCACCTTCAGTATGACTTGGATGTTTTGTAGTCTTTGGGCTTGTTTCAGTTGGTATGTGTTGCTTTCGGAGCTTGTGCCCCTCGAAGTCGTGTCTACGTAAGTGTTCGGATGTATGTTTAGTCCTATTTAATTGGTTTTCTCATCACGAGACTCCGTAATTCCGTAATTCAATTTAAACTGTCATCGGCAGTATACTTGTGTACCACGCCTAGATTCCTCAGTTCAACATTCTGTCATTCCTGAGCGAAATTTCATGCGCCATTTCAAGTTCAGGTTTCACCTGACGTGACATTCACAGTTTTGGTAATATTACACAAAAGCCACAGATCCAGGTTTTGTTTATTTATTTACTTTTAGTAGATTCTTTTGAAAACATTTTCTGTTACACATTGTCAGAATTGAACGTTCACTTTTATGTGCAAAATACATGTATTGTCCAGTTTATTATACCAGATTATCTTGATGCCCTGATTGTTTGACTATGTCTTCAATGTATTCGGACATGGATATGCTATAACCGCTTAAATGTATTAAATATGTACCCTTGTTGTTTCAAAAGCCATCCCATTGTTTTGATTTGGTTGTTGTTTAACGCCGCACTCAGCTATGGCAGCGGTCTGTAAATAATCGAGTCTGGACCGGGGATTCCAGCGATCAACAGCACGAGCATTGATCTACCTATTTGGGATACGATGACTTGCAGTGAGTCAACCAAGCGAGCCTGACCACCTGATCCCGTTCGTCGCCTCTTACGACAAGCATGGGTTGCTGAAGACATCCTAATGAAATCTGTGTTCTGATTCATTATAGACACAGCTATGATTGAGACAAGACATACTGCATATTAGTGACTAGATACGATCACAGGTCATGGGTACATTTCTCATCTCGTTCATTCTCACTCAGTGTTTAGTTATATGGATACTTGGCCTGACTTTGTCATCGAGAACGTTGTTGTCTGGTCAAGACGTCGTTGTTTAAAGACCGCCGCCATATGACAAAATAACTGTTGAGTGAGTGAGTGATTTTAGTTTGACGCCGCTTGTAGCAATATTCCAGCAATATCACGCCGGGCACACCAGAAACTGGCTTCACACATTGTACCCATAGGGGGAATCGAACCCGGGTCTTCGGCGTGACAAGCGAACTCTTTAACCACTATACTGTCCCGGTTTTTTTTTAGTATAATCTCTTACAAGTATATTATTTTCGATTGGTCGCTGCATTATGTATCAACTCTCCCGTATGCTTAATTCTAAGATGCCTAGCGGTTAGAACAATCGAAAAAAAAATACATTATCAGACAATAAAGGGATAGGTTTTTGATGACGTAACAATTGAATGACGTTATCCCGTTATTGCGCCATTCTAGTGTGCCCCCTCGTAATCGAACCATTTTACATGACGTCACAATGTAAGCGACGTCACGATGCATGTCAGTTGTCATCGCCTCGTACGGCCTCCTACAGTAAACTACTCCGTTGCATCCCGTTTCTTGGTTTGCAGTTGCTTCACGCGGCTAACATCACTGGTGGAAACATTACGTTTATCTTTTACGACGGTGAAAATGTGTCATTTCGATTCACAAGTTTGCAGCGACACGGTACGGTTCGCAATGTTTACATTCCCACAATGCAACCGTGGAATGTCGCTTGACTACTAAGCTTCATCTGGATGTACTGATCTAAACTTACGTTGGTAGTAGAAATGCGACGTTCATATTGTCCCATATGGTTTACGTTAATGACAGATGTAATAATAATAATTCAGAGAAGATATTTAATCCGAACGTAAACCGGCATCAAACTGTTATAATTTTTTTCTGGTAACGTTCGTCTTAACGTATGGGGGGCAGACACACCAATAGAACAGCGCGCCAGTTAGCCCTGTGCAAGGATTCTTAATGTAGGTCACTGACACCGTCGTTTGTTTTCTGCCTTAAATTAATCGTAATTATCCTTAGAAAGTATTAAATTTGGCATCTAAGAAAAGAAATACAGATCGCTCTACCACCATGTATAGTGTAATAAAGCACACTTTCGACCTGAACTATTATAACGTTAAAGCACTCGGACACAAGCGTCCTCGTACTTTAACTATAATAGTTCAGGGCGAAAGTGTGCTTTATTACACTATACATGGTGGTAGAGCGAACTGTATTTCTTAAGCAACTGCATGTAACCAGGAGTGAGTGACTTCAGTTTTACGCCGCACTCAGCAATACTCCAGCTACATAGCGGCGATCTGTAAATAATCGAGTCTGGATCAGACAGTCATATGATCAACAGCTTGTGCATCGATCTGCATAATTGGGAACCGATGACATGTGTCTAGCAAGCTAGCGAGCCTGACCACCCGATCCCGTTAGTCGCCTCTTATGACAAGCATAGGTTACTGAAGATCAATTCTATCCCGGACCTTCACGAGTGCATGGAACCAGGAGTGTTACAGCAAATTACCAATGCGTCATTGTAGCAAGTACATGTTAATTCATGGTACTTTTGTACATGTTTACAACGTCGTTAGTAAAACTATCTCTTTATCAACTTTTTTGTTGTTGGTCAAGATATAAACTAAACGATTGTGTGGTGTTTCTTGCGATCACGCATTCTCGCACTTTAGGCATATTTCGCTCGTTTCCAGAGGTGGAAATTGCGAGATTGTTCAGTACAGATTACATTAGTTGACGAGAAGTCATCAGCGTCTTGTTCCAGCTCCATAAATGAATAAAAAGAGGGGAAAATCAATAATTCACTACATTAAAACCCCAGTAAATACCAATATTGATATTAACATGGATCGATGGTCACCAGTCCCTCTTTACGTCCGATAGCAGACAAGTTGATAGAATACTATATACACCCCGTAAAATAAACAAAACATATGAATGTGAAAGGTAACTTGTGTTAACTGATGCGCATAACAAAGTGGCAGGTACTGTTAGATAAGAGTGGGAATCTGCAGAATTCCCTTAGATAAAGGTGGAAACTTGTAGAGTACCGTTAGATAAGGGTGGGAACTTGTAGAGTACCGTTAGATACGGGGGAACTTGTGGGAACTTGTATAGTACCATTACATAAGGGTGAGAACTTGTAGAGTACAGTTAGATACGGGTGGGAACTGGTAGAGTACCGTTAGATACGGGTGGGAACTTGTAGAGTACCGATAGATAGGGGTGGGAACTTGTAGAGTACCATTAGATACTGGTGGGAACTGGTAGAGTACCGTTAGATACGGGTGGGAACTTGTAGATTACCGTTAGATAAGGGTGGGAACTTGTAGAGTACCATTACATAAGGGTGGGAACTTGTAGAGTACAGTTAGATACTGGTGGGAACTGGTAGATTACCGTTAGATAAGGGTGGGAACTTGTAGAGTACTGTTAGATGAAGGTGGGAACTGGTAGAGTACCGTTAGATAAGGGTGGGAACTTGTAGAGTACCATTAGATAAGGGTGGGAACTTGTAGAGTACTGTTCTTGTAGAGGCAGTCGAAGGAACGGTCTTTCGCAAAACGCATTTTTTGAAATTACAAATTAACACATCGTTAATGATATAATATTAACCCGAAACTGGAATAAGTATTGGTATCATGTCATTATGATTGGGTATGATTAAATGCACATGCATTATGTCGTCGCAGCTGACATTGAAACAAAATCAGAGAAAGGTTTTCTCAAATACAATTAACAAATGACAAAATTATCTTGAAGTATTTGCGTCATACAAGGACTCTCAGTATGTTTGAGTACGCACACTTACGGTTTCAACACATAAGGTTACACATAGATATTGATCAATGGAATGCTTCCGTATTTCCTCGTATTTGTTCCAGGAAGAATACCGGCGTTTAATTGAGATCCCGAGGTTTGAACGGGAAAATATAGTAGTTAAAACTCACAGTGTAAAGGTCATCTAACCTCTGTCATACTAAGACACAAGTCACTTATATCTTTTAATGACACGAAGGGACATTAACGTTATTGTATATGAACGGGAATTCTTACATACTTAATGGCAAATGTGAGGATTATGAATATGAGTCAATATGCAATGTAACGTTAATCCACATAATTAACTCTATACTCTCAAAACAAGTCAACAACCATTCAATCATATCATTATGAAGAAGCTGGAACCACAATGCAACCCTTGCCATGTAGTCAGATATATAATGTAGTCATGGTAACGGTCAAACACAGACAGCGTGGGGGACAAGAGTTCTGTCACACGTCACTCTGAGACAGTCGAAGGAAAGTAGCTCGGACTGAAAGACTTCTATAAGTATCTCACGAAGGAAATTATGAAATCGTATCACCTTTTACTTACAGGTTTTGCAGGATTGACTGCAATCCTTTGTGCACAATGTACCGTTTCGAGTTTTTACCAGAAGGTACAGACAGGTGTTGACGCAGCAATGGTTTTCGACTACGTACAGACGACGTCAGTCCCTCAATGTGCCATCACCTGCAACGGCGTCGCCAACTGCACCGGTTTCATCTACTGCAACATCGACAACAGATGCTCCATTTTGACATCGGATCAGCCTTCCGTTCCTGTCAGCGTCCCCTACTCGACCTGCAAGGCATTCTTAGAAGTCACGACCTCCAGTCAGGTGAGTTCAAATTTGAATATTTTCAGGAGAGATACTTGTATATCCTGAATGAACATGTGTGGGATAACATATTTAAATATACAATGACTGGTTTCAGCTATATCGTGACTGGACGATATTGAACAATTAGAACAGTCGAATATCGTGTTGTGCTTGAATGTGCCGAACTCACCTTCGGGTTCCCGCATATTCCTTCTAAAACTCATCATGATTTCTTCTCTGTCAAATTGAGCGTGTGAAATTCCCGTTTCCTAACGAGTTTGACATAACGTCGCGTTTTGTGGGTACAACTAATATGAGACTGTAAATCCTGAAATGTGTATTCTTTGTTGTTTTCTTTTGGGTAAAGTTAAAATGGGCAAACGAGTTTGGTTTTACTCCGCCTTCAGCAATAAAGGAATCTGACTGTGGGGAACCCCAGAAATGGGCTTCAGACATTATATCCATAAGGGGAATCGAACCCGTACCTTCTGGCATAACAAGCAAGCACTGTAACCACAAGGCTACCCCAACACCGCTTAGGTTGAAAATCCATGTTTGTCTTGATTGAATTCCGTTTGTGTAAATGCTCAAGTCTTGTGACACTTTTCCTTAACAGGACATAACGAATACTTTGAGTGGATAGGTTGCACGTATCATTGTAGGTACATAGATCATATCTTCTTTGAAATAACAAAGAGTTATATTGGTTCGAGTTCCACATAGAGACTGTATGTAAAACCTGTATAAACTAGATTATATCATATTTTGTCTTTACAACTGATATGAGAAATCCAGAAATGTGTCGTATTCTTCGTTGTTTTCTATTGGGTAAATTTAAAATGGGCAAACGAGTTTGGTTTTACTCCGCCTTCAGCAATAAAGGAATCTGACTGTGGGGAACCCGAGAAATGGGCTTCAGACATTATATCCATAAGGGGAATCGAACCCGTACCTTTCGGCATAACAAGCAAGCACTGTAAGCTATTGGAAATCGCATTTTGAAGAAACCTGCCAGTTGTTCTTCCTCTGAGTGTTTTCACCCTGCAAACATCTGGTATGGCTTTCCTATGTTTGTTTTGAACTAGAGAAAACCAACAGCACCTGTTTTGTTTCAGACTTCGCTATCATGCCAGAATGGAGGAACCCTTGATGGTGCTGTCCGTCTCTGTCTGCCTGCCTTCACAGGAGGGAAGTGTGAGACCAGGATGGAAGGTAAACCTTCACTTACAGATATGGACTGTTTGGCATCATGACCTATTTATGTGATCCTGTTTTGTAAGAGTCATTTCCCAGAAGTTTCATTTGTATATGTAACCGGACTCACCAATCGTGAAGATCTCTGCAAGGAAGCAAAATATGAATCCCTAAGGAATTCCTGTTAAGAATATCACCTTCCAACAGTACCGCCATATAGAAGTTGCGTCAGTTAGGCGCGAGGGACACCAGTGATGGTGGGTTCGAACGTCAGGTTGTCACTGTACATGCTTCCAGGTCAGTCGGCACCAACCAAGCTCATGAGTTTCACCAAAGTGTCTCGTCGTCAAGCTGATAGACGATGCTGCTCAAAATGGGGTGACTCTCTTACTGCGTATGATGGGTCACAGTTCATTCATAACAAGTTGTCTTTGTTTTAACCAATTCGAATATTGTACAAAGTTGGTTTTTGTCCAAGTCACTAACACATTGATGCCCTTGATATATGACACTTTTGCTTTTGTCCACCATTGTCCTATGTTTGACAGTCAATGTTTTACTGTTTCAGACTGTAAAGACGTGTCCCTGTACCTTGGTAACTCTACTGGAACCTACACAGTCTGGCCGACCAACTCCGCACAACCGTTTGACATAGAATGCCATGGCGTCACTACTATGATCATGTTCAGGGACAAAACCATCAGTGGCTGTGAGGCTGCGCCCGTGACGTACCTCGACGTTCCCTGGGCCGACTACAAGTCTGGTTTCACCCACTCCAACTGTTATATGTGGCTGGGTCTGGAGAAGGTGTATGCTCTGACCAGCGTCCGAGCTTACTGGGTGTACATGTCACTGAAGACATTTGATAGCACTCCCGGACAAGTGTCTTACAACGCCTTCTCCGTGGGTGACGAGGCCTCGGAGTATCGGCTGTCGGTGTCGGGGTTCACTGGGGATGGCGTTTTCGGAGACCGCTTCAACCTCGGGGACCCAGCTACAACCCTGGATGGGAGTCACTTCTGTGCCAAGGATCACTGCAACAACTCAGTCAACCCTTGTGCCGAGTGGCATCGTGGAGCCTGGTGGAACAGGCTAGATGTCTGCCAGACGAATCCTCACCAACGATATGACATTTATTGGATTCTTGACGATGGTACCCCTCACGAATGTAAAAGCATCTACATGTTCATAGATCCTGCCTAACACTGACTCCCTAATGGTTAACGATATGTACGGCATTTGCACATAGCCTTCACGACATATGAGCTATGCATGTACGGTACTGGCATATAACTTTCACGACACATGCACTATACATGTACCGTCCTTGTACACAACCTTCACGACATATGCACTATACATGTGCGGTACTTTTGCAAGGGAATGTACAACACTGAGGTGTATTAAAACTAAAATAAAACAATGTCTATAATACCTTCTTTGGCCACCTTCAGTATGACTTGGATGTCTTGGAGTCTTGGGATAATTTCAGTTGTGATGCATTGCCATTGCCATTCAGAGTCTGTGCAATTCGCTGTCTGTTAAGTCATGTCTGCTTCCCCCTGAGTGAATCGCTCCATCTCACGGTTGTATGATTAGTCTTATTTAATTTGCCTCCTCATCATGTGGACCCTGTCCATCACGTTGTTGCAATGCTATTCTTCTGTTGTTGCTAATTATGTTAATTATGTTATGTCATTATGTTAACCTCTTTCAATTATGAAAACTGTAGTTAAATTTAAGCCTTCAGTAGTATATCTGAACGTGCACCCTGAGTTCTCAGTCCTAATCAAAATGTAGATATTTTAAACATCCTGATGGCTATGTCACCTGCTCTCAATAGGGTATATAGTCTGCGAAGAAAGAAGAAACAAATAAATGCAAAACTAGTTTTCAGATGTATACTTTATGTAAAGTATAAATAATACATTGTTCAAAATTTCAGAGGTCCTTGTCACTGAATCAATCGAATGTCAAGGTAAAGGTCATCTGAATGAGTGAGTAAGTTTAGTTTTATGCCGCACTCAGCACTATTACTGCTACTTGGCGGCGGACTGTAAATAATCCAGGTGTGGGAGGAAGGATGGAGAACAGCACAGGTAAATGAATCCCTTTTCTCAATATCTTGTATGTCTCCCATAAGAGTAGAGAACTGACTGGCATCGTTACCCCTTTGACTCAATCAGATTGCGAATTGTGGCCTGGTGAATGTTCACACATTCTCCCTGCAGTGCATGTGGCTGTTGCTGACGTGATGGAACATACGTTCTCTGTGACATATGTACACACAACGTCTGTCTTTTATACAGAACGGTAAAAAACGTGACAAGTCACTCAATCAAACACGTCTCCTTCGCTGTTGTTATCATACTCTGTGTCCTTGACACCAATGACCTTGACACCCCACAATGCTGATGCGCAAGTGCCGACAAAGTTATAGATTCATTTACCTGTGCTGTGCCGTCTCCATCCTTCCCCGCACACCTGGATTGTTTACAGACCGCCGCCATGTAGCCGTAATGGTGCTGAGCGCGGCGTAAAACTAAACTCACTCACTCAATCAAATGAGAGTCGAAGATAAGTCGCAAGAATTGGCCTCCTTTACAACATGGATGGATGTGCCATTAAAAATAGTTCTAGGTCCTTATGCGGATATATCAATTTGTTTTTGATTTAGAAAAATTATAACCATTTTCAGTTGACCATTTGTGAAATTTATTGAGACATAGTTGTAACTGCCTCTCGATTGCATGCATATTTTCACCACTACAAAAAACATTATAATCATGCACGAAAAGTGATCCATCAACTGAATCAGTTAAAACCCCTGAAAGACAAAATACTGGCAAATTGTTGAACACCCTGATCCTGACTGTAATGGTCAGACAGGGTGGACCCAGGGTGAAAATGCCTGTCTGTTAAAGATTTGGAGATAAAATGAGGTAAACGAGCTCTCAAACCAATATCATGTACATCCTTCAGAATACCGTGCTTTCAAGTGGTATCCTAGGCTTTTTCAAGATCGAAGTAAATTGAGACAACGTGTTGTTTAGATACTATGGCATTTTTAACAAAGGATTCTAACCATAGCACATGATCATTGTTACATCGGAAACCACTTTGTATATTATTAATTAAGTTATTGGTTTCCAAATACAAAATAATCTATTATTAACCATTCGTTCCATGGTTTTATAGACACTGGTCTGTTGTTAGAAGGATCAGTATGATCCCGGACAAGTTTTGATATAGGGACCACAATGGCATTACGCCACGAGGGCGAAAAATTCTCTGATGTCCATATTTTTCAAACATATCTAGAAATGTTTCCTGATATGAATAAGGCAAATGATTCCGGAGCAGATAGCGATTATCATCGGCCCCTGTTGCTGTATCATGAACTTGCTCAAGGGCAGTATGTAGCTCATGTAGTACAAATATTTCATTATAATCTTCACCATTGAGTTAAAATTGATTCTTTTCTTCTCCTGTTGTTTCTGGTGTTTTTAAAACTCAGGGACATAATTGAATGATGAAGAATGTTTGAAGACAATCCCACGACATAATATAAGACCTTAAAATAGCACGATTAATTAAAAAATCTTTAACAAATTAAAACATATTTTAGTAAAAGTAGCCAATTAACGGATTCTTAGCAATGTTGATAGTTTAAAATATCTGACGGTAACTTGGATTTGTATTGACAGTATGTTTGATGAGTAAACATATTTCACCTTCGTTTTGTTTACTAAGATACACAATTAGACATAAAGTTTCTTCAATTAAATACAAAGTTGACCACCGATCTTTGTGTATTTCTTGTGTTCTTTGCTTCACACTAGCACCCCGAGGCTGTACAATGTACAGGACCGATCCTCAGACAAGTCTGTAATAGTCATCAAACAATTGAAAGCTCATTGAATCCCAGTATAGAAAGTGTAAGTATACCGTTACATTGTGCGGCTTTGAATCCAAACGAAACCCATATCGCGAATTTCGCTTAATGACTTAGAGACAATTGTGTTGGAATAAAATAGGTGTTGAAGCAGAACGATATTTTTACCCCAAGTGTGAATGTGACGAAGTGTCAATATGCTCAGCGTATACAAAAACAAATAATATAAAATGAATAAAATCTATATCTTTAATTAAATATCATTATCTGATCTTAGTTTTGTTCTTCTTTGAGATAATGCAACTGGGCAGAATTAAAAATCACCACGTTTAATTGAGTATTGCGTGGTATATTCTGTTCTCAGTGAAAGGACCGCATGACATGCTGTCAGACAAAAGGAGACTTTCATTTTATGGAGACAGATATATCATGTAGTCATGGTAATGCTCAAACACAGTTATAGTTAAAGTCAAACACAGACAGCCAGGGAAACAGTCAGGTGATTTGTCACACATATCACAGTGGTACGTTTGTTGGAGCTGATCTTGAAACTTCTTCTTACACTGCAATCAAAATATGACTTGTTTTCAACTCTTGCTTGTAACTGTTTATACAGCAGTGAATGTCAACTGCTCACCTCAGTGTTCCGCACAGCGGTTTTACAAGGAAGAACAGACAAATATTGATGCAACAATGGTCTTCGACTATGTAGAGACAACCTCGGCTCTCGAATGTGCCAACACCTGCAACGGTGTCACCAACTGCACCGGTCTCATCTACTGCAACGACGACAACAAATGCTCCGTCTTGACAATGGAGCAGCGTGTCGTTCCAGTCAGTGTTCCCGACCTTACCTGTAAGGTTTTCACAGAGTTCCCCACTTCCAGTCAGGTGAGTTCAAATTTGAATATATTCAAAGCATATGAGCGACACCTTTCCACATCTAAAAGAAATCCATTGTACAATTCTATCTGTGTCTTGAGAATGTATTATGAATCAGCATTAAAACAGTGATGATACCAGGTCTTAGCGTATCCTGCCCCACCAGTGTCATAAACATAGGCAAGTCAATTATTGACATGAACAATATCGGGACTGTTTGGTAAAAGTCAAAATAAGGAATTGCATCGGAGATCATCTTTTGTCACTGATGTGCCAGATTTTGAAATTTCTGCTACATGTCTACAATAAAAAGTCATGCATTTTGTGTCCTAACCTTGATGAGACAACTTCTGAGCTTAACTCCAGTTAGGCTTTCCTTTTTTATTTTATATTTTATATTTTTAATTACATTGAACACCTGTTTTGTTTTAGACCTCGACATCATGCCAGAATGGAGGCACCCTTGATGCTGCTGCCTGTGTCTGTCTGCCTGTCTTTACAGGAGGGATCTGTGAGACCAGGATAGAAGGTAAATCTTCAGTTATAGTTTGGCATGAAATGCATGTGGACCCGTTTTTTGTAAATATCTCTTCATCCAATGACCCAATCGATCTCAAACTGTGCAAGTGGATGTTTTGTCAGACAACCTAATCACATTGTAAATCACCGATTTTATGCATTTGTATTAAAGAATCTGTCTATGTAACTGTCAACAAAATAAACAGCAGAACGCAGACGACTTGCAGAGGGAGGGAGCCAATGACCTGTAACAGCGGCAGTGGTGGGTCATAAAGGTCAACGTTCGTCAATGTAGGTCAGCTATGCACGTGACAGGTATGAAGAGGTGTTCATTTCTAGCAAATAGCCGGTGAATGACATCTCTGATGACCCTGACCCATGTGATTAGGTTGTCTGACAAAACATCCACTTGCACAGTTTGAGATCGATTGGGTCTTTGGATGAAGAGATATTTACAAAAAAACGGGTCCACATGCATTTCATGCCAAACTTTATATGACGATCTCCTCAACGAAGCCTAAGATGAAAGAGTTCATGTTAAGAATATCACTTTCGTTCAGTAACGCCAGATAGAAACTGCGTCCATTTGGCATGAAGGAAACCTGTGACGGTGGGTTTCGACTCTCAGGTTGTCACTGTACATGCATCTAGGTCAGTCACGTCACTAACACATTGATGGTCTTGGTTGATTCCTTCATTGCTCTTGTTAATCATTGTCCATCACTGACCTGTGTCTGACAGTCATCATGTCACTGTTTCAGACTGTACAGACGTTTCCCAGTACGTTGGTAATTCTACTGGCACCTACACTGTCTGGCCGACCAACTCCGCACAACCGTTTGACTTGGAATGTCAAGGCGTCACTACTATGATCATGTTCAGGGACAAAACCATCAGTGGCTGTGAGGCTGCGCCCGTGACGTACCTCGACGTTCCCTGGACCGACTACAAGTCTGGTTTCACCCACTCCAACTGTTACATGTGGCTGGGTCTGGAGAAGGTGTATGCTCTGACTAGCGTCAAAGCTTACTCGCTGTACATGTTACTGAAGAGATTTGATACCAGTCCCGGACAAGTGTCTTACAACGCCTTCTCCGTGGGTGACGAGGCCTCGGAGTATCGGCTGTCGGTGTCGGGGTTTACCGGGGATGGCGTTTTCGGAGACCGCTTCAACCTAGGGGACCCAGCTACAACCCTGGATGGGAGTCACTTCTGTGCCAAGGATCACTGCAACAACTCAGTCAACCCGTGCGCCGAGTGGCATCGTGGAGCCTGGTGGAACAGGTTGGATGTCTGTCAGACGAATCCTCATCACCAACGTGACATTTACTGGCCTCTTGCTGATGGCATGTCTCACGAATGCAAAAGTATTTATATGTTAATAGGTCCCGCCTAATAGAGTGACTCCCTGAAACATCAGAAGACAATGATTGTACATGGACGATACTTGCACTTAATATTCACGACACATGCACTTAACATTCACCATACATGCTCATAACAATCACCACACATGCCCTTAACATTCACCACACATACACGTAACATTCACATGCTCATAACATTCACCACACATGCCCTTAACATTCACCACACATACACGTAACATTCACATGCTCATTACATTCACCACACATGCCCTTAACATTCACCACACATACACGTCACATTCACATGCTCATAACATTCATCACACATGCTAATGTGATCATGTAAATTGCCAGTTTGAATACATTTAAAGTATGTTTACCATACATACGCAGTAAAAAACCCTGAAAAGACACACACACACACACTGCTTTGAAAATTTCTTGATCCGACTATGCGATGCACTGTCTATTAACAAACAAATATCAAGACCCATTCACCACTAATACGCTGCTGAATTTTCCGAAAATATTCTCCAGAAGTAAATTGAAAAGATTTTTGTGCTCCTGTTCTATAAGAAATGAAATTGCCCGGAAGACTTGCAAGTTTCTTATTTTGTCGTTTAAAAGTGCAGGTGCCACCGTGCAGATCCGAACACATATTGTCGACACTTGCCCCTCTCTGGAATATAAACTAGTCGGTCCCAAACTCCCACTATTTTCGAAAGCTAATTTTATTGTATATTACCCATATAACATCTCGAGACAGAAGATCTTTTCTTACCACCAAATGGAACTTTACTTTATGACACTGTTTGGTTTGCTTGTTGTTTAACGCCGCACTCGGCAATATTCCAGCTATATGACGGCAGTCTGTAAATAATCAACAGCCTTGAGCATCGATCTACACAATTGCACTCGGATCACGTTGACAGTCTGTAATCAACAGTCAGCGAGTACACAATTGGGATACGTTGACCAAGTCCGATCTGACAACCCGATCCCGTTTGTCGTCTTACGACAAGCATGGGTTGCTGAAGACCAATTCTAACCTGGATCTTCACGGATTAAGCAACTATAAGTTGTATCAAACCAAACTGTAATGTAACGGGACATTCTGTTAGAAATTGTTTAATAAACGAATAATAAAGGTTACCAACAAAAGCAGCAATTGTTCTGTACTAACTGAAACGTCAAGGACAACCGACAGGTCACTTATCGTGTCTCAAGGAGAATTTAAACAAAGAACAGTCCACCACTGAAGTCAATTAAAACTAAGTTATTTACACCAATAATACCTCCGATATTGTGTTCGACTTGATTCAAGATGAATACCAGCGAGCTACTGAGTATTATGAAAGGGCCATTTGGGTGTGTCGCCACACGATTCGTCGACACCGGGCGACACCGTTAGAAAATTGATACGTAAGTGATAGGTTCGGATGTGTCGATCGTCACACCTATTCTATGTGTCTGTGTATGTGAACCCATCCATCCAGGTACCCACAGAAGTACTGCTGTACGGCCTTAGGCAACAAACACATAATTATATCGAAACTTGTGACTGGAGCAAAACATGCTTTCCCAATTTGACAAACACCTGGTCTCGTCGCTTTAAATCCATTCATGCCTTTTAGGCCCACCTTACTCGGCAGACTGTGGATCGTGACAATCCGGTTTCGTTGACCTTTATATCTTGAGACATTCCCTCGAGAAAATATGACATCAAAATAGGCTTTTCCCTGAACAAAACAGTTAACGTGACAAAGGAACGGATTACTAGGCCTATTAATAGCACATATATGGGTAGTATATGTTATGGGTATTGATATAGCGTTATAGTCCATCCCATCTGCATGCATGCTCAAAGCGCTTATGGAAGTCACACACTTTGTACTGATATACTGTACAAAACAGACAAAACGTCCTAAAAGAACTGGAAGAAGTCTGTCTGAGTAATATTGATCAAAGAAGTGAGTTTTTAACTGAGACATGTGTCAATGGTTGGTGAACTCTTTATGGCATGAGGGAGATTGTTCCAAAATATGGGGTCTGATGCACAGAAAGCCTTTTCACCAACTAGTGTCAGTTTAGTTCTTGGAACAGAAAAGACATGTTGGTGGAGAATGCCTTGTGATCTCACCTGAGATATGCTGGGGGCCAGGTCATGCTGACATCCATAGGCGAGTTACAATGTTTTGAAGTGGATCCTTGCCTCAACGGGCAGCCAGTGAAAGTCTTTCAAAACTGGGATGAAGTGTGATCGTCTAGACGTCGTGGTGACAATTCTTGCTGCAGTGTTTTGGATATTTTAAATGCGTGTAAGGAGCTCGTGGTTGATGCCAAAGAGGAGACTATTAACATAATCCAGTCTAGACATGATTAAGGCCTGAATCAGAGTTGTGGTAGCATCAGTCATTAGGAGACAGCGAATGTTCCCAATGGGCCGTAGGTGGTAGTTACAAGTTCTAACTAGGTAGTCCACGTGCTCATACATAGTGAGGTGGGAGTCAATGAGTACACCAAGACTCTTTACACTAGAAGAAATCCTAATGTTAGAGTCAGCAACAGTTATTTCATTGCAGTCCTGTTTTTGAAGACGTTGTTGGACAACCAAAATTTATGCATTTCTTGTGTTCTTTGTCTTATACTAGGGCCCAAGATTGTTATACTATGTACAGGACCGATTTCCTCGGTATATGACCCGTGAAGATCCGGGGTAGAATATGTCTTCAGCAACCCATTCTTGTCGTAAAAGGCGACTAACGGGATCGGGTGGTCAGACTCGCTGACTTGGTTGACACATGTCATCGGTTCCCAATTGCGCAGATCGATGCTCCTGCTGTTGATCACTGGATTGTCTGGTCCAGACTCGATTATTTACAGAGCGCCGCCATATAGCTGGAATATTGCTGAGTGCGGCGTAAAACTAAACTCATTCACTCACTCCTCAGGTAAATTAGTAATACTGAAATCAATTTAAAACTAAAAACTTCCGATTCCGGATAATGTGAATATAACTTGCCTACATCTGGATCAAACTGAAACAAATGTGACGGAATTCGCCTAATGACTTTCAAAGAATTTACAGAAACTGTATTTCGAGAGGAAATGTGTAAATGATTCCATCACTCGCCTGAAAGTAATTAAATGTCAAAATGTAGAGCGTATGCATGAACATTTATATCCTCCATTTTACATCAACTTTTCATTGAGATAATATTGATTGAACAGATGCAAGAACCACCACGTTTAACAGAATATTTTACAGCATAATCCGATCTCAATGAAAGGAACACTCTCGCTGTCGTTTTCCAACAAGGAATATAAAGTGCAGTCAAAGTGGAATATTGAGACCAGAGCCTTAAGATATGTAACGCATATCACAGTAGGTCTTGGAAAGAGGCTTATGCTAATATACAGGTATCTCACATGAGACAGTATGAATTTTAGACCGATATTGATGCAACAATTGACTCTGACTAGTTTGACACTGCTCTCATGACGACATGTGATAATCTTTGGATTTAAGACAGAAAGAACACCTTTATGTAGATACTGCCCACCTGGGCCCGGTTGTTCAACACTCGGTTATCTTAACCGCCGGTTAACTCCTAACGGCCCGGTTAAATCCTTAACCGGCCGTTAGGTAACCGAACGTTAAATATGCGTTGTTCAAACATGGTTAGTCATGCCGTTAGCTAACGTCGCCGTCAAAGTTTAACAGTGTGGTTAACGTCACTGGTTAGCTTCCATATATCCCATAATTCCGTTTTCTGTTTACTTCCGGATTACCAAAAAATGGAATCGCGAAATGTCGCCTGCACCCCAAGGAAAAAGAGAAGTCGAAATGTCTTTGCTGTAATCCAGTCAATGGTTGAGACCAACTCTTTAGTTTATCATAGGCATGCGAATGTCGTAGCGCTACGAACGCTTGTATTGGAACACAAGGTTCCAGACGTTTGCATACATATTTCAAAGACATTATGATCCCAGCTCTGTGTGGGACTTAGAAAAGACATTTTAATGAGAAACTATAGCACAGCTATAGATAAAATATGATGAATCCATGAAAATACATGTAATATTAATACTAGAAGCATGTTTTCAGTGGATAGAATATTTACAAATATTACACACGCTTAGACGGCTACAGTCTTAATGAATCTTTGAATTCCCACAAGCCCTATCGCTCACTTTTCACTCCTTAAATTGTCATGACTGTATGGCCAAGTCATTAAGATGCTATCAATATCATTTATTAATTACTTGCCAAGTCTGTCAAAAATAGTAATGTATGAACACACATTGCCAAATCTTTTAACATCAAACAAAGAGATGTTGTGACAATATTACCATTAGCTTTTATCTGAAATATGCATTCAATGCCAATAGAAACTTAATATGTTACTAGCACCACGTGCAAGTAATCAAACTGTAATTGTACTATAGGCCCCAGGGCCAACACTGCTGAATTTAATCGATCTATTATTCGACCTTACTGTTGACAGGAATCTCATGAATAAAACTGTGCAATATCGTCATTATCTGAACGCCTTCACAAACGCATATTCCGGAAAGATGTCTTGAAAACATTGAGCTGCGTCTAATTTATAGATGAACATAATTTCCTCAATACTCATTGATCAGATGAACCTCCATTTAGTTCAATTCACAAGTGACTATAGAAAATGCATAGATAGTTCTTTTCAATTTCTTCAAGGACAGAAAACATGTATTATATTTCATAAGAGTATTATAGAACGCTGCAACGATTCGGCAGAGAAATACTATTGTGCCATTGTATTACTTATATAAAATACATCAGTGTATAACATTAGCATTCAGATATTGTTATAAAACAAATGTAAAATTCGAAACATTATCGTGTAATATGACAAGAGATAGTGTTGTGTTCGCTGTGACAAAAAGGGTTTCGATATTCAAATATAAAATTTAATCAAAGTGACTAGGAAGTAGGCCTGCATATCACTCACAACTCACAACGTTTCGCGAAGGCCGGTATTGAGATGCCAATTACATCACATATATTTCATATTCAGCGGCGACAAATGCATCACTGAATTCTAAGGCTGGGACTGGTACTACGGTACTCGAATCCGGGTCGGGTACAGCTGGAATCGAGTCCTATTTCTAGGAAACGGGTACCCGGAAAGGGAGAGAGCTCTGTAATGACAAGGGCAGACAATAGCTTGTCTTTTTTCGTTTTCGTTGATAACTGCTCCGTTAAAATGAAGCCCTTTCCTCTCTCCATTCACAATATAGCCTCAATGAAAAGTCTTCAGTCTCTGTTCAGCCCGACTTGGCCCGTGCTGTCAAAAAACACCTTAACCCTCACACATGTATCCTTATTTCTGTCTATATCTCTAGAATAGAGTTATATCTACCTAAGTACGTCTTTATAGAGTCTCAAAGCGTAGTATTTGAAGCAAACACGTTGCTTAAAGTGAAGCCCTATTTTCTATACATTCTCAACAACCACACAGCATCACAGTCATGCTTTCGGTCCGGCTTGGCCCGGGCTCTTAAAAACAACTTTAACCCCACACATATGTCCTGATTTGTGTTTAATTTCATAGGTTAGTATTATATCTACCTAAATATCAATGTGTGATGTTACAATATGCCACACATTTACATCATTGAGTGAGTGAGTTTAGGTTTACGCCGCACTCAAAAATATTCCAGCTATATGGCGGCGCTCTGTAAATAATCGAGTCTGGACCAGACAATCCAGTGATCAACAATATGAGCATCGATGTGCGCAACTGGGATACGATGACATGTGTCAACCAAGTTAGCGAGTCTGACCACCCGATCCCGTTAGTCGCCTCTTACGACAAGCATGGGTTACTGAAGATAAATATTCTAACCCGGAAATTCACGGGTTTTTACATCATTGGTATTGTCCGATTAATGGAGCATAGTTTTAATGACTGTAATTTATCTGTGCATGAGCAGTGAGTAGTTAAGTTACAGTAGCAACAGGAACGAAACGTTCGTTGTTATAACGAGGAGTGTAAGTAATGGTGTTACTGTCTATATTGGTTAAACAGACGTAAATTAAATAGCTTGAGGTGAGTTTTAATGTCTTATTACCACTTTTTCAAGTTTTCTATAATAGTCTCTGTCAAATCGTGATTGAATATTCAGAGGTTGACCCGAATATTGTATTTCTTACATTTCCGGGTACTCGATATCGATTCGGGTAAGTACATGCGGGTACTCGATTCCCTTTTTTTCCTACTCGTCCCAGCCCTACTGAATTCCTCATACATTTGAGAATCTAATTACAACTGGTCTTTGTCACCAATACCAAGTGTCTAGATAAACTGAAACGAAAGATATTGGAGGTGGAAACAAATGCCGTGCTCGAAAGACAACACCTGTCTGAAATGTAAACAAAGACAATTTCAGACTTTATACTGTGTTGCATTTTCTCAATTTTCAGACACCCTTTTGCATGGAAAGAGCATAGTAGCAAGAAATAGGAAATTAAAAATAGATGCAATACAGGAATGTGATACGTGTTTATACGAAACTGTCAAGTTTCTGCGCAGCGTGATGCCATGACTGACGCAAAATCACGCAGAACGACAACGGTGATAATCGGCATTTCTGGCCGCTTCTTCTCTTTCTTAAAATGAAAAAAACATGTAACAATACACAGATAGTTAGAATCATTCTGATTACTTACATCTCATATTTATGTACAAACGATCCCTGAATCAAAGGAAGGGTCCTCGCAAAACCCATGTCTGCCGCCATTTTTTAAGAAATCTCAACGGTAGTGATGTCATACGTCAACATTGTTGTACATATTTGGCAATTTCTCTGAGGTGAAGGTCGGTAGAATAAGAGTATACACAATCACCATATCCCGCCGATTACACTTTCAGTATCATAATGTAATCATTCGGATGTTTTTTCATAAAAATAATTTAATTATTTACATTTAGTCTTGTCCAATATCATATCATACGTGGGTATAGGGTGTATGTGTTTGATTCTTTGAAAGTGTTTGTTTGAATAATATATTTACAGAGGAAATTCACACATTTAGTGTAGTAAAACATATATAAACCTTTACACAAGTGATAAAAGATGAAACGTAGGCATCATGTTCTTGTACAACATGTATTTTAGTTCCTATGAAGTGTATAGTTACAGTTTCGTATGTAACTCTTCGTCAGAATAATTTCCAGTATCGAAGTCCAGTCCACGATACACCCTATCCTTTCTTTGCTGAACTGGCCTCATGAAAGCAGTGTTAGCCATGAACGTCAACCGTTTGACTTGGAATGTCAAGGCGTCACTACTATGATCATGTTCAGGGACAAAACCATCAGTGGCTGCGAGGCGGCGCCCGTGACGTACCTCGACGTTCCCTGGGCCGACCACAAGTCTGGTTTCACCCACTCCAACTGTTACATGTGGCTGGGTCTGGAGAAGATACATGCTCTGACCAGCGTCAGACCTTACACGCTGTACATGTCACTGAAGAGATTTGATACCACTCCCGGACAAGTATCTTACAACCCCTTCTCCGTGGGGGACGAGGCCTCGGAGTATCGACTGTCGGTGTCCGAGTTCACTCGGGATGGCGTTTTCGGAGACCGCTTCAACCTAGGGTACCCAGCATCATCCCTGGATGGGGTTCACTTCTGTGCCAATGATCACTGCAACAACTCAGTCAACCCATGTGCTGAGTGGCATCGTGGAGCCTGGTTGAACAGGCTAGACGTCTGCCAGACGAATCCTCACCAACAATATAACATTTACTGGGCTCTTGACGATGGTACCACTCACGAATGTAAAAGCATCTACATGTTCATAGATCCTGCCTAATACTCAGACTCCCTAAAAAAGTCAGCAGGCATAAACAATATGCACGGTACTGGCACATAACGTTCACGACACATGCGCTATACATGCACGGTACTTGCACATAACCTTCATGACACATGCGCTATACATGCACGGTACTTGCACATAACGTTCACGACAAATGCGCTATACATGCACGGTACTTGCACATAACGTTCACGACACATGCGCTATACATGCACGGTACTTGCACATAACGTTCACAACACATTCACTATACATGCACGGTACTTGCACATAACCTTCACGACACATTCACTATACATGCACGGTACTTGCACATAACCCGCACGACACATCCGCTATACATGCACGGTACTTGCACATAACCTTCACTACACATCGACTATGCATACACGGTACTTGCACATATCCTTCACGACACATTCACTATACCTGGACGGTACTTGCACATAACCTTCACTATACCTGGACGGTTCTTCCACATAACCTTCACGACACATGCGCTATACATGCCCTGTACTTCCACATAACCTTCACGACACATCCGTTATACATGCACGGTACATTCACATAACCTTGACGACACATCCACTATACCTGCACGGTACTTGCACATAACCTTCCGATACATTCACTATACATACACGGTACTTGCTCATAAACTTCACGAAACCTGCACGGTACTTGCACATAACCTTCACGACAAATCCGTTATACATGCACGGTACTTGCACATAACCTTCACGACACATTCACTATAGCTTGACGGTACTTACACATAACCTTCACGACACATCCACTATACATGCACGGTACTTGCACATAACCTTCACGACACATCCACTATACATGCACGGTACTTGCACATAACGTTCACGACACATCCGCTATACATGCACGGTACTTGCACATAACCTTCACGACACATCCGCTATACATGCACTATACCTTGCATGCGGTACATAAACTTCACGACACATTCATATACCTGCAAGGTACTTGCACATAACCTTCACGACACATTCACTATACACACGGTACTTGCACATAACCTTCACGACACATTCACTATACATGCACGGTACTTGCACATAACCTTCACGACACATTCACTATACATGCAAGGTACTTGCACATAACCTTCACGACACATTCACTATACATGCACGGTACTTGCACATAACCTTCACGACACATTCACTATACACATTCCATACATGCACGGTACTTGCACATAACCTTCACAACGACATTCACTATACATGCACGGTACTTGCACATAACCTTCACGACACATACACTTGCACATATACCTTCACTCATAACCTTCACTATACCTGCACGGTACTTGCACATAACCTTCACGACACATTCACTATACATGCACGGTACTTGCACATAACCTTCACGACACATCCGCTATACATGCACGGTACTTGCACATAACCTTCACGACACATTCACTATACCTGGACGGTACTTACACATAACCTTCACGACACATGCGCTATACCTGCACGGTACTTGCACATAACCTTAACGATACATTCACTATACATGCACAGTACCTGCACATAACCTTCACGACCTATGTACGGTACTTGCACATAACCTTCACGACCTATGTACGGTACCTGCATATAACCTTCACGACACATCCGCTATACAATCACGGTACTTGCACATTACCTTCACGACCAATCCACTATCCCTGCACGGTACTTGTACATATATTCATTATTTATTTTCCCTTATCCTTACTCATGCTTAATTGCTTGTCTCCTTCCTCTTGCGAACGTTAGTGGAACACTTGTTTCTCCTATTGAAGCTCCCTTCAATAAAAACAGACGTAAAATCACTAGTCACCAAGAGTTAGCCGTTGATCCGTTTTGGCGGGAAACTGTGGCGCCACCATTCCCAATGCTTCACTCTCTCCTTCCTCGCCCTAGTGAGCGGTTGGGAGAGCGCCTGGGTCTCCTATACGGCACTATATCCTTTCATTAATTAGTTATTACCGTCTATTTTACTTTTATAGAGGTTTAGGAAGTATCTTACAACAATATGGGTTAATATTTATTCGTATTTTGCACTGTTTATTCACGGTTTGTCCGTGTTTGTTCAGTTGTTTACATTTCATGAAATCCTGTTTTCGTTGTAGATTTAGATTCTCTGCTGCAGACCCGCATCAACTGTGCCCTAGCTGCACTACGCCATGTACTTTCAGCTCGCGCTGCATTTATTGTCAGCATTTAACCAATTTTTCATTTAATAAATACCTTCTTTGCGTACTTAGACGTGCTGCAGACAGGTCAAGACGGCTTTGTCAAGTCATGGATAAGCCGGCTGAGTCCCTCACGGGTCAACTGATGTCAGACGACCCTCTTCCTTCAAGTGATGCACCGGAGATTTCCTCAGGGGACGGGCGTGGGACGTTGTCCGCCACCTCCAAGAAGAGGGCTGCCGCTCCGGACATCCCATCATCGCAGACTAAGAAAAAGAAGCCATCCTCTACGCAGAGAAGGCTACACAACCCTAAGACGACAACCGACTCTACGGGGACGTCTGCGCAGACTACTAGAACTTTCTTGGCCGAGATTGTTCCGATGACAGAAAGAGGACTCTATGATGAGCCGCCGCTCATCATCCATGAGATACATCACCGCAAGAAGCGGGCCTCAGCAACAGTAACATCAGCGCAGTTGTCTACGCAGTCCGAGGTATCTACACTGACGACAGATGAGCGATCCCTTTGCCATATCGCTACCAACGCTGAGAGGGCAGCTAATCTCTCACCGCAGACATTCAACCCGGGGGAATTCATGCAGCAGTTCTCACAGCAGATCATGGAGATGATGGACAGGCGCTTCGCACTGGAAAGGGCATCGCATGATCAACAACCAGACCGCAGAGCGGACCCAGACCTTCGCGAAGGTGCCAATGCAGCTGAGACTTCGAAGAGGCCTTCCAGCAACGTGACGACTGGGAACAGAGCTACGCTTCAGGACGTCAACCAGCCTGCGTGAAGGTCGACACGCCTATCCCCAGATGCCGAATCAGATGATCAGCATTCGCGAAGGCACTCGCGAAAGACTTCTGACACAGCCTCAAGGACATCTTCAACATCGCATAGATCGTCGAGGGATTCACCGAGGCATTTGCGAACCCAGAGACGCTCACCTCCGCGCAGGTCTCCACGCAGGTCGCCTTACAGACGCAGTTCGCCGGGTTCCTCTCCACGCCGATCTCCACGCAGGTCTCTCCGTGCAGGCGCAGGTCTGCGCAGGTCTCCGTGAAGGTCTCCACGAAGGTCTCCACGCAGGTCTCCACGCAGGTCCCCACGCAGGCCTCCGCAGCCGCGAAGGTCACCACGCAGATCAACATCGGAGGAGGATCAACATTCCCAGATCAGCGCACCTGTCACAGAGGACGACGGCGGGATCATCTTCTCGGACTCGGAGATCAGATACTGGATGGCCAACGGTCTGGACTAAGCGTCACCCTCTAAGGAAGAGAATGCAGCTCAGACTTACCTGATGCAGGACGATGACGTCGACACGATCACTCTACCACCAATTGATCCTATCTCGGAGGTTCCAGAGAACTTAGATGCAGCCTTCAAGAAGGCCACGAAATCTCAGGCACCGCATCCTCCACAGTTCAATGCCAAGAAGTTCTCGCTCGACAACATGGACCCATTTCTGAAAGCGTAGGAGATCGACGATAACTACAAAGTCATCAACGACTCCAAGACCAAGTCTTATAAGATCGACGACAAGAAGTTGGCGCCAATTGAGACGATGACCAGGCGGATGTTCTTCGGCCTCAACAGATCCAGGACAGTAAACGAGACGCTCATCGCTAAGTTCAGGGACTCTACTGCAGAAGAAGACCGGATGATCTACTCTGCGTTACTCATGCAGAAGAAGGACCAGCAGTTTATGACGGACCATCTATCGTCCATCTCCGCAGCTTTGACTTCGGCAAGACGACAAGGTCTCCTCGCATACTGCAACTGGAGTGAACGCTTCACTCAGTCCCTCTACAGAGCCCCATGGTCGACTCCATCCATCTTCGCTGGAGAGATTGACGACGTCGCCAAGGAAGTAACCAAAGACTCCAGGGAGGTCCTCATGATAAAGTCCATCGATACACTGGCCAGTGTCATCAGGCAGACATCCCAGCGCTACTCGGGCAAGTCGAAGTTCGTCGGTCTTCAGAAGGCAAGAGACAAGAAAATGAGCACCTCCAGGGGCGGGAAGGACTCTTTTCGTCGCCCAGCCGGCAACTATAGAGGACGACCTGGACGAGGCAGGGCACCCAGAGGCGCCAGGGATCATCGACGATGAAAGAGGGGTTCGGAAGGACTGGAGTCTTCCACCCCCCAGCCGTTCCCGTACAACCTTCACAAGTGGGTGGACGTCTTCAACTATACTGGGAGAACTGGGGACTACTTCAAGGTCCATTTGTATCCAACATCCTAAGAGACGGATATCACATACAACTACAAGCAGCTCCGCTGTTAACAGTCGACCCTCAAAAGTTCGACTTCAAGACCCATCGGACAGAGAGGCTACGAGAGGCGGTTACATCTCTACTAGTAAAGAAAGCCATAGAAGTAGTGGATCAAGACCACATCACACCAGGTTTCTAATCCCCAGTTTTCCTAGTACCCAAGAAAAACTCCAAAGAAAAGTTCCGACTCATCTACAATATGAGGGCGTTCAACAGAGATTATCTACGCAGGCCTCCCAAGTTCAGCATGATACATCTACCTCAATTACTCCACCTCGTCCGTCCGAGGGACTACATGGCCAGCATAGATCTACAGGACGCCTACCTGCATATTCCTGTACATCCGGACTCAAGGAAGTACCTGAGGTTTATACTGGATGGACGACACTACCAATGGAAGGTCCTGCCATTTGGAATATCATTGGCCCCCTGGTTGTTTACAAGGGTGACGAAGCCCATAGTCTACATCATCAAGGCCTACGCAG